TTTTGTCAAAATATTTTTCCAGCTTTTCTGAACTTGGAAGACAGTGTGGCCTGCTAAATGAAATTTTGCCTGGTAGAGTCCCCTGAAAGATAACATTAGAGAAGTACTGGATTCCTAAGCCGATGAGAGTGTTTTCATTTCATCTGTGTAGCAAGTTATCATTATAAAACAAGATACTTTGCACATCTATCTGCCATAATTAGTGTATCAGCCACATTTCCATGTGAGAGACACTCTAATACATACGGAATATCTGGTACAATGCGGAGGTTGGTGTGTCAGGCCCAGGTCTTACTTTGGACATGCTATGGCTCTTTGGGAATGCTGGCACTAGCCCACTGTGCTGCTGGCATTGGCATACTAAAGTCTAAGTTGCTGGTGATTTTAGGGAACTTGAGCTATAATGAAAGCAGCATGTGGAACTCAAGACATCTTCAGCTGATTCTGTGGCATTCATGATTAAGGAATACCAGCTTGGCTTTCTCCAGTCACAGTTTCTATGCTCAGCTCTTTTTGGATCTTGAATTTCCTGGTCTGACTTAAAAAATAAAAAGGCACAAAGACGCTAGCTCTCTGGTTTCTGCATTGGCCATCAAGCCGTCTTGAGCAGATATAATGTACAAGGGAGACTGGCTTCAATTTATAACTTGCCTGGTAAATCTCTCTGCCTGTTAATAACTTAGATCTTAGGAAAGCATGCCTAGGAAAAGCAAAGATCAGAGGCAGGTCTAAAGAACAGAATAGTATACACGAACAGTCTGTGCAGGAAATGCTCTTATACACATGTGAACTCTCAAATGTCCATCATCATTTCCAGGCAAACTGCACATTCCCCCACCCCCTCACCTCCACTGCCAATGCTATTTCTAGACACACAAAGACTAGTGGCCACCTTGCCAACCCTGATGGCCCAAGTTAGTGGCAAGATTGGCCACTCTAATGAGTGCCTGGCTTTTGCAAGTTGTAGTTTTCTTGCCCTAAATGTACTTCTTAAACGCTGACTCTGGCGCACTCTCTCCCCTCCCCACAGGGCATTTCTGTCACACAAAGCTGGTGAAAAGCCCTCTGAACAAACACTGAAACATTCCTGGAAGACCTCTATTCTTACTCTCCATATACAAAGCAGATTCTCTCTTACATTTTTAATTTGGAGCCCCAAAATGACTGGCAGGCCCAAATTATCTACACATGAAGGCAAAGTGGGCCCAGTTGAAGGTGCCACCTGCTTTCTCACTGAGCTGTACCTCAGTTAGCATGTCTAACTTGTTGGAATCTACCGTTTTCAGGGCCTTGGTTGGAAATGAGCGCTGGAGCTCAGTAGAGAGATACTGATTTATATCGAAAACAAATATAGAGGGTAAAATTGTGCCAGTTTTCACTCACAAAATCAAGTTCTCCAAGAACTGGGTTATATTATGCCTTGGGGACCTCAGAACAAGCTACCAGTCCTCAGATTGTCCCCTCCTCAGTGAGAAGGAAAAACGGCCTTACACACTCCTGTTCAATGTGTACATTTCACTCATAACCTCCAAAGCAGGGCTTTTATTATTCTTGAAAGTCATCTTCTGTGCTATGGTCTGGGTGATTTCTTGAGATTACTTCAAGTCAGAAGAATCTATCTCCTAATATGAGAAGGGCAGTTAGCCTTAGTTTGTTGTGAGACTCGCTCCTGTAGGCCAGATATGTGTGGGACAAGCACAGTTTCGGGCTCATTTCGGCTCTGTAATGTGCTTAATGTCTCATAGGCTAGCATGTGTCAGTGGCTTTCCAAAGCAAGGTCAAGTGAAGCCATTTAGGGTCAGGACCAGAAGCTGCAAAAAGAAATAACTACCGTATCTCCATCCTGTTTCCTCTATTGAGAACAACTTTACACTCTGTGAGGGACCAGGAAATATTGCCTATACATTTTCTCTTTCAATGCTATTTGGTACATGGCAGGGTTTAGGAATCTAACCCTGAAGTCATATGCCTGGGGTCCTATCTGCACTCCTGACCTTAAGGCTGCATTCTAGGGCATTTTGTTTTACTGGACTGACATTGTTCAGGGAACAGAAGGGGTCACAACAGCTCTTTGGCTCCTCCAGAAGCATCACAAACCACTGGAGTGAAATTCTGTCTATGGTTATTTATTTTTACAGAAAGCAGAAACACGATAATCAGACTGGCAATTGTTTGAAAGGTAGAGATGGTCCCCTTTACAAGTACTGCCCAGTGTTTGCAAATGCAGTTTGTTGGCCTGAAGTCTTAACATATACCAGCTGTACTATAGTTGGCCTTCACATACATGCTGTAGGTCTCTGGAGACTCGGGCATAAAGGGTTGAAATTACACAGGACCAGCACTAGAGTTGCTGACAAGAGGATGGTTCTAGGCAAGAAAAAAACAACTGTTCTAGGCTTTAGGAAATGCATATCCCATCAAGTTTGGATTATGACCCTCTCTAATAAAAGAACACCCGTGTCTACATGGCCTTTCTTGGATGTAGATGAGTTTGCTATGGTCCCTCCCTTCTCTTGGTGCTCTGGTAAGTCAGGTATTATTTCTCCTGGTCTTCTAGGTTCTTGCCTGCAGGTATAATGGCATTGCTGGTAAACCACTCCATCCCAGAGCAAGAGAAGTAAATCATTGGGCTTATTGAAAGAGAACTTGCAGAACTCTGGCTTTGAAGACTACACAGCATCTCACATCTTTATACCTACGCTAGAGGAAAGAATCCCAGAGCCCCCATGTATTTTGCCATCTGTCCTTGTAACATCTCCTGTTAGTTTCACTTAAGTTCCTTGCAGAAAATTAGTTCACACCTGCCTGCACTGTGTCAGGTAGTTTGCAGCAGCCTCTGAGTGTGTATGTATATTGGAGGACAGGGAAAAGGGCTGGGTAGAAAGATGGAGCATAGAAGGTCAAGGCCAGAAAATCAATCTACACGTCCTGGTACTTTGAACTTAAGACATGGACAGTCTGGGATGGCTTAGGGTCAATACCTGCTTCAACCAACTTTAGGCAGCTCAGAAAGAACGATTCCCCACTCTGACATTCAGTTTCACACCGGTTTCTCCCCCCCCCTTTTTTTTTGCAGTACAGTCATAATTCACTTGCAGTAAAGGAGGAGCAAAGGACATCCTCACTTTACCCATCCCAACTGAACGGTTTCTGACTTTTGACAGGCCGGGGTGCTTTCCTGGCACCCCCTGAAAAGTAGCACCCAATGGAAAGTTAGCACGTTAGAGATTCTCAGGCCACAAAGGGACTCTAGTTGTAGAGTGACTCTTTCCTCCCACCTCCCTGGATCACAGCCAACAAAGTATTTTATACAATCCTGTTTTGAAATACTACAAAATGCATAACGAAAGTCAAATCACTCTTTCTGAGGGATGGTTTAATAAAGTTAGCATTACTCATCCATTAATGATTAATGTCAGCGTCTGAAAATTTTTGTTAAGCAGGGCTTCTCTGGGATCGTAGGCTTGCCACACATAGTAGTTCAGAGTCACTACAGCACATGGACTCTTTGCAGAGTGCAGCAGGAGAAAGCACCAGAAGGAACAGCCCCTCTGAGCCTCGCTGATCTTAAAGGTAACCCAGCTGGGCCAGCTCAATCAAGTCGGCGAAAACACGTGACCAACCTAAACGCAATCCAGTTGCCAACCAATCGCACGGGGCAGAAAAGCCCTGCCCAGCTTCTCACGCCCGGGACAGCGGAACCAAAGGCTCAGGGACTCTAGGAGACTTAAACACACCAGCATAGGTCCACAGACTGCTTGACCACACACTTGAAAGTTCGCTCGCACTCCAGGACACACGTGACCGCAAGCAGGCGGGCCTTCTAAGCTACTGTGGACTCTTTTAGAGCTGGGACAACGTTCCGCCCTAATTATCTAGAGCTGGTTGACAAGCAAGCTCTTTGGTGTCACCTCTGAAGACCTCTAAGACCTCTTCAGTTGCCTGCTAAGGATCAAACGGGACCTTGTTAGGAAGGCGTCTTATCTCCTGCTCTGGAAAGTTGTGCAACCCAAGATGGGGGACTGAAAACACAGGGATCCTAAGCCAGTGCTCTGACCCCTGGGGACTCGTGATAGTAACCCCCGCCCTCCCCAAGCTACAGTCACACGCCAGCTCTAGCACTACACCTTCGATCTATTGTGTAGAATAGATGCTAATTGAAGTCACTACACTGGGACTCAGTTTCTTCGGGGGGAGGTGTCACCCTAAACGAGGCTCGGCAAAGTAACCTGATTAAGTCTGGTTCCCACTCCCCTCCCCCGTTCAGTTATCTCAGAGGCCCAGAGGTATACAAACGCCGCACTAGCGGCAGAATTCCCGGGGAAAAGAGAAAAGCACTCAGAGGGCAGTCCAGTTGAAAGCCACACTTGGAGCCGGAGAGACGGCCCGGCGCCTGGGGAGTCGTAGTCCCGGTGAGCAGCACTTGTCATGGCTCGGCCTCCAGGCTGCCGCCCACCGAACGTGCGCCTGCTCACGGCTGCGCGAGGACTCCCTGCCCGGCTCGCACCTGGTGCCCGGTGTCCTCGGAGACGCCCACCTTCACCCACTGTGCGCTCTCAACCCTGCTTAAGTCTGAGGGGCGCACCCGGGCTTCCAGGCCCGGTGCTCTGCCACGGTCCTAACAGCCTGCCTGGCAGAGGAGGCAGAACCATTGTTCAGAGGCTCCAAAGCCCACATCCCCAATCCCTTGTCAAGGGGCATGAAAACCATGTAAATCAGAGGTTCTTGGAAGAAAGGGGACACAGGGGAATGACAACAAGTTCAAGGGAAGCTTTAGGACACCCTAAACCCCACCATCCCCTGGGCCCAGCTCCCAGTAGCCTCGGTTCTGACAGCTCAGAGGCGCCACCCGGGCGGGGAGGGGAGGCAGGAGAGGAACGCGGAGAGGCGCCTCCTAGGAGGGGGTGGGCAAGAGGAACCCCAGGGCCCCCCAGAACGCAGCGATCGCGGGCGCCCGGGTTTGTTACCGGCCGGGTGCGGAGGGGCGCGTCCCCACTCACCGCTTACAGAGGCGCCGCTGTCCCGGGGCGCCCAGCACAGCGCGAGCAGCAGCCACAGCGCCCAGCGCGCGGACGTGCCCATGCTGCCCGCCCGGATGGTGCCGCCGCCGCCGTCGTTGTCGCCGTTCGCTCCGCACAACAAGTTACCAGCCCTTCGGAGAGGAGGAAGGAGGTGGGGGCGGGGAGGGAGGAGGCAAAGAGGAGGGGGAAGGAGTGAGGAACCAGGAGCACGGTGAGCACGGAAGGAGCGGGCACCCTTTCCTTGCAACTTGCACGCTCTACTCCCCGCCAGCCAGCCACCCAGCCACCCACCCGGTCACCTCCCCCGCCGAGGCCCCGGTGTGAGCGCGGACCCTGCGGGCGGAAAATAATGCAGGCTTTGCAGAGGAGGGGAAGGAGAGGGGAGGGGACGGCGCGGGAGGAGGGGGCGGGGAGCCCGTTCGCCAGGGACAGCAGAGGCGAGCGTTGGGGGCACCCACTCGGGCGGCGGCTGGAGCACCGGGGAACCGCGGGGGGGACTCCAGCGGGGGAGCTCAGTTCAGCAGCTCCTGCACGCGCGGCTCTCCCGCGCGCGGTGCGGAGTGTGCGGGGGCAAGTGGCAGCGAGCGTGCGTGAGTGGCAGCGGCTGGGGCTGTCGCCGCCACCATCCGGACGGCTCCAGGGGCCCCGCTGCTCCGCAAGTCGGCCCGGGGCTCACGGGGGACCCGGGGCGGCCGCTGGTTGGCTCGCGCACGGTCCTCACCTCCAATCCCGGGTGCCTGTCCTAATTTCCTGATCTAGGGAACCTGCGGCCGCAGCAGCTGTGCGCTCCCTAGCTCCCTACAGTCGCTACTGTACCCTCCTGGCGCCGGGGCCGAGAGCGCTGATGCAACTATTGCTGCTGTTGCCACCGCCTCTGGGCTGATAGGACTGACAATTGAGGGGTCTGGGGGCGGCAAGGAATGCTCTATCTCCCTCTCCTTCGCCCCTAGGAAGGGCTGGTATTGTGAGGTCGGTAGGTAGCATCTTCTTGGGGACTCTTCTTTCCAACCCTCAAGTGATGAAGAGGAGGGGTGCGAATGGTCCTCTTCTGTACCACTGTGGTGTTCAGAGTCCTGTCTCAATGGCATACTGAGATGCCATTTTGTTAAAAGTTAAATGTGTCTTAGAGAGAGACAGAGACAGAGAGAGACAGAGACAGACAGAGAGAGACAGAGACAGACAAAGTCACAGAGAAAGACAGAGAGAGAGAGAGAGAGAGAGAGAGAGAGAGAGAGAGAGAGAGAGAGAGAGAGAGAGAGAGAGAGAGAGAACAAGAGAACTCCTGTGGTTGTGGCTTTCCTCTGTAATAGAACAAGACTAAAATAACCAAGTCTGGGATGGGGAGGAGGAAATTGCCAGCGCAGTTCTGCATTCTCTCATCAACGATTATAGTTAATTGCTAATTGCACAAAATGATAGTTTGAGGGCCTGTAATTAAAAGCTTAACCTTTTTTTATTTTTGGTTGGGGGAAGGGGACACGGGTAGATTTATTCTTGGTATACTTTGTAACCTTCAATTATAAGCGCTGTGGAGGGAAAGAAGGAAGCAAAGTCAACCCTCCCAGAAAGGCTGAACTTCAGGGGTTTCTCCAGACAGGACACGAGTCTAAGATTTGCTCTTCCTGCTCTTCAGTTTTCTTGAACACATTGCCCTGGTTGAGATGCCTTCTCTGCTCTGGCCTAAGCAGAGGAGAGGGATACTCTGAGCTATTTCACCTGTTAATACAGTGTGTACACTCCTCTTTTTATAAGTTACTGTAACTTGAACGAAACAAAGTTGACAGATTCCAGATTTCACATCCTAGCTATCTCCTGGCTTTGTTGTCTCCTCGCCTTGTTTCTCCTGAGCAATTGTCAGTGGCAGGCTTCTAGGAGGGGTGTTTATTTGAGATGGGGGTAATTCTCAACCAGGATGCATTCTGGTTCCTATAATTTATCCTCATCATGACTGGTAAGCCCCCATTCAGATGGGGCCTTAAGTCACTCAATGTGAATGCTGTATAATTGGTCGATAGGAGATGGGCAAAACCTGCACCAGTCACACACATGTTGCATGGGAAACAAAATTCATGGCATTTTACAGTGTGGGTACTCACAGCTATTATTTACCTCACAGACCAAGTTGAGGCGGGTGGTCTAACTTTAGACCCTCAGAATCTTCAGCATCCCTGGGACTTGAAAATCTCATGGTCACTTTCCAGCAGGCAAAATGGGTGGGAACATAGGAGAAATCAATATTAAAAAGCTCAGTATTAATGAGTTGTCACCGCTTATTTTTAGTGTTTTACTTGAGAGAGAAATGTACACAACAAGGGAAACAATGATATGTTACAATAAGACTTATCTTTGACAAACATGCATTCTGCTTTCTAGCATAAATAAACATTGGTAAGTTTATTATTATTAGCTATGGTTCTGTGCTCAATCCTTTAGCGCATTGCTCCTCTGCCTCTGATTGGCTGTGCAACTTCAAACAACAGAACCCAAACCCTTCCTTTTTTCTCTGCCTGCCTTCTGACCTGTAAACTGAAAACACAAACAACCCACATGGTAATCAGAATTTTCTGTGGCCTCAAGAACCAGCTGGCCTTGCCATTCATTATTATCAGAAAGAAGTTACAAGGAGGCATGCATGTGATTAGTACAGAGAGTAACCAGTAACTAAAGGAATAAATTGATCATGAGTAGATGATGTGGGCAAATAGAGATCCAGAAATTCAGGATTCAGGTAACTGTGTCAGTAGTCCTATTTACTCCCACAATCAACCACATGAATTAGTTTGTCCAAACAACACACATTGATCAGTGCTCTGGGAGGGTGGTGCCAGGCAAGGCAACCGCCATAGATACACACTTATCTCGAGAGGCCATGGGAGCTAGTCAGGGTAAGGCAGACATGTTGAAAATTCCAGCATGTTACATACAGCATTGGAATCCAGCATTGTTTGAGATGCTGTAAGATACTGAGATGAGGCCAGGGCTGTTGTCCAGTGGTGGACTGCTTGCCTAGCATGCACAAGGCTGTGCATTCCATCTGAAGCATGGCAAGAATGAACGAATGAATGAGTAGGATTACAGGGGGAAACCAATTGAGCTGGTTGTAGGATGAGGCTCTAAGGAGAGGCTTTCTCAGGTGCTTGTCCTTGGGCTGATGTACTCAGCACATTTCACCCAGGAAGTCCCGCCTCCACCTTTTTATTGTTAGTTGGGTGAAGATACTACCTTTGACTAATTAATGGACAGAAGAAGTTACAGGGCATCACTTCCCGACTGGGCCATGGACCATTTAGTGGCTTGTGTGAAGCTCTCTTTTTGTCTTCCTGGCAACAGGAGGCATTTGGGAGGTGGCTGTGCCATTTGTCCAGGTTTTTGATTGACTGCATGAGTAGCTGGACACACATCTTTGATGATGTCTATGAATGAGAAGGGTTTTTAATACATTTTAAAGGTTTGGAGGCATATACTCGCATGTCATAGACCATGTTACTCACAAAGCCTAAAATATTTATCATTTTTCCTGTTAGGGAAAAGGTTTGCTAATCACTGACATAGAGTGAGGAAACAGTCTATGTTTACTTAACCTACAGAGAGTTTTTACACAATGTAACCTGGAATAAACTCGAGTACTATACTGGGAAGAGGGGAGGAAGGGCTTAGAAAGGAAACCAATGCAGGAGAACAGCATGTGTTCAAGGCAGGGGAGAGAATTCAGAATGGCTCTGTAGTAATACATTATTTATGATTTATTAAAGTCTGATTGAGGATTCAGGAAGACAAAGTCAGTCTCGAGCTACAGACATCCAGGCAGTGGTGATATACACTTTTAAAGCCAGCAGCCAGAAGCTAGCAGGTGGTGGTACATACCTTTAATCCTAGGATTCAAGATTAAGAGGTAGACTGACCTCTGTGAGTCTAAGACTACACAGATCTATCTACACAAGAGTGAATCAGTCTAAAAGAGAATTATAGCTCTCATCTTTAATCCCAGCAATTGAGGAGCACAGAAGACAGGAGCAAGTAGTCAGAAACAGGCACACATTTTCCAGCCACACGGAGGTTACAGTCTGAGTCTTAGTGAGAGCTCATGGAGACAGGGTCAGCACATTCAGTCCCAGGTAGAGGTTAAGAAGCTAGTGACCAGCTGCTTTGCTTTTCTGATATTCAGCTTGAAGTTTGAACCCCAATATCAGTCTCTGGGTCATTTATTTTTTTTTCATGTTACATGGCTCAAGGTTGGAGTCCAAGGGACAGGTGATGGGAAGCAGGGCTGAAGAAGGAGGCAGGGACTGGTTTAGTGGGTCTTGATGAGTCACCTGAAGGCTTTGGAGGTGACTTTGAAGGCTTTTTCTATAAAGCACAGGGAGGCCTTGAGGTAGAATTGATCAGTGGTTTGGCATCCAGTTTCTTTTTGAAAGATGACTCTGCAGTGGTGTGAGACAGGATAAATTAGCATCAGAAAAGGAAATCCTAGAGATGCTGGGTGATGGAGACACTGGGTGATGTATTAAAGGATAGAAAGAGTTGTTGCTCTTAGCGCAGGCTCCCAGGCCTCTTCCTTGGAAATCTGCTTTAATAGTACTCAAAATCTGTATGTGCAATCCTAATCCTGTGATTTGGGAGACAGAGATTATCCTATTTCAACATATACATCTATACGATTCCCCCAAATAAATTGTTTAAAATATAAAGATGTATGAAAGAAGCTGTTTTTATAGAATGACTCCCATGTGGTTTTATTTGGGAAGTAGTAGTTTTTTTTCCTGTGAAAACTATGTAAATTTGTTTGTCCAATTTCTCTGAGGCTTCCATCATGACAGGGCCCAAAGAAAACGCCAAAGTTCATGTTCTTCTCCTATCTCTCTCTCTTCGAAGCCCTGAGATGAACACATAGAGGTCTCAGAAGTCATCTTCAAACCAATTGGCTAATTTGAACTGCTGATCTCAAAAGCCTCTGCAAGTCAGAAGTGAACAGAGCTGACCTCTCTGGTGTATTGAGATGCTTACCCCCTGGCCTTCCTTCTACCCTTCTTAATTGTGTGAGAGGCTAGTGGAACCCACAGGACTCTCCTTCTCTCTAGGCTGCATGGGCAGGGCCTGGTGGTTTAAACTACCACATTTTTAACTTCTGTCAAAGCTGCTTGAAAGGGCGGTCTCAATAGAGTACCTGCCTCCACTCCCAGAGTTTGTGATTGAACAGTGGTCCAAGCCTCCACTCCCAGAGTTTGTGATTGAACAGTGGTCCAAGCCTCCACTCCCAGAGTTTGTGATTGAACAGTGGTCCAAGCCTCCACTCCCAGAGTTTGTGATTGAACAGTGGTCCAAGCCTCCACTCCCAGAGTTTGTGATTGAACAGTGGTCCAGGGTGCTGCCGCAGATTCGGAGTTTTCAACATCTTGCCTGGGAATACTGACGCTGTTAGTCAACGCATGCACTTTGAGAATCACTCCTGAATGCACCTGTGGAACTTCCTATGGCAAGTACACGGTTGGTTCAGGGCCTCAACCAGTTAGCCTGTGGCATTCCCCAGATGCACCATTCAAGCCTTAAGCTTTAAGCAGATTCCCCAAGCTGCCTGTATTGTGGGGAGGGTCAAGAACTTAGAACTTATCTCCAGGCTTTCTCTTGGTTAGAAAGAAGTTTACTTCGGCTGGGTGGTGGTGGCATATACCTTTAATCCCTACTCTCGGGAGGCAGAGGCAGGCGGATCTCTATGAGTTCAAGGCCAACTTGGTCTACTGAGTGAGTTCCAGGACAGGCTCCAAAGCAATACATAGAAGCCCTGTCTCGAGCCGGGCGGTGGTGGCGCAGGCCTTTAATCCTAGCACTCGGGAGGCCGAGGCAGGCGGATCTCTATGAGTTCGAGGCTGGGCTGGACCGATTGCCTCCAAAACAATACAGAGAAACCCTGTCTCGAAAAACCAAAAAAAAAAAAAAAAAAAAAAAAAAAAGAGAAAGATGTTTACTTCTAACTAATGTGCTAGGTGGGCTAAGAAGGTCAGAGTCGTCCTTGTCATTGTGACAGCATGAAGGAAGACGATTTGGAGATGACCTGAAGTGTATACTGTTTCATCATGATGGTTCCGTTTTTGAACTTTGACAAGATTTGCCTGTGAGAAGGAATGATATATATAATGGTCTCTTAGTTGGTTATGTGTGTGGTTTATGTGGCATGACACTTAGCACTCCCTGGAGGAAAAATGTGCTTCTTTCTAAGCTGACTCTTTGGGAGGGTATGGTCCAAACATTATTGTTTTAGAAATATATTTACTGGAGTTCAAACACTGAATACAAGCAGTTTATCTAGTGACAAAAGGAGAGGCCCAGATTTTGAAACTGCTTGTGGTTTGGAATGATAGGAGACTAGATTAACTAAAGGTGAGTGGAGATACCATAGAAACAGATGACTCACGAAAAATATTGGTATCCTCGCTGAGTGTTTATTCCAAGTTTCTAGTACACCATTAAAGATTTATGACCAAAAGGTGCTGAGAGCTGTTTTGCATATTTAGAAATATGATCAAGAAGGTGAATTTTTTTTTTTGCACAGGATCCAGAGAGCACCCACTAGGTACCTGGAAGTCTTTGCCACTGAATGAATATGGAGAGGTAATGTAAATCAGTGGTTAAGAGAAAGGAGGATGGAGGCTGGCTTTGGGGGTTCAAAGCCTGACTCTGATGCTAGTTGTAAGAACTTAACCCAATTATTTAAACTCTTTTTCTATCAGTTTTTCCTCCCAGCCTGGAAGTGGGTTAGCAAGCATACCTACTTCTTACAAGGATCAAATACATTCAAGCAATTATTCCTAACAGCATCCAGCATATAACACGTTATCAATAGAAAACCCCAATAGGTCATAATAGTGATGTTTATTGTTGTGATGTGAGAAGGGAGGCAAAGGGAAGTCAGACCGTGTAAAAGTGTAAGATAATGTTTTTTGATCCATGCAGCACACTAGCCCTTTTGGTTGGTTTATGAGAATGTCAGCACTGGTGCTCTTCTTAAGAATAGCAGTAATTGTTTGGGCAGTGGCAGTGCACACCTTTAATCCCAGTACTCGGGAGGCAGAGGCAGGCGAATCTCCGTGAGTTTGAGATCAGCCTGGTCTACAGAGCAAGTTTCAGGACAGTCAAAGCTACACACAGAGAAACCCTGTCTCGAAAAATCAAAACCAAAACCAAAACAAACAACAAACAAACCAAAGACTAGCAGTAATTGTAAGTGGGGTTTGCCCATTAGCATCTTCAGGCTTTCCTGGTAAGTCTGGTGTATGTTCTAATTCTGACTCACTCCTGTATAGTCTGAAGCTCTGGTCTGGGGAGTGTTGTAGAGGACATCGTGGGGTAAAGTTTGAAGGTGACACCATCCATAGAGAGGATGAGGGTCTTGCTAAAGCAAATCGGCCACCAGAGTTCCAGAACAGCCTTCCAGTCCCCGCTCTGGGCATCCGGCTCTTGGCATCTCACGCTCAGCTAAATTTGTCAGCTGTAAGGGAGCCAAAGACCACAGGAGGTCAAAAGCTGGGCACAGCCAGGCTGTGAGAAACCCAGCTGGCGTCCACCTATCAGGTGATGGATTACATATCACCAGTCGCATGCCTTTCTGAATCAATCTAACAACAAGGACTTGTTGAGTTCCTTCTGTGGGACCAGCAGCGTGCCAGGTGACTGGAGGCAGCAACCAGATAGCCATGTGGCTGCTGCTGGGGAGTAAGTTGCTATTGTTCTGCTTGCTCTTTCAATGGGAGCCAACTCAGGCTTGTTAAGTGGTAACTGACAGTCCTTTCTTCTAAGGAAGTTTCTCTTGGATTTGCTGCCAATAGGAAGTGTATTATTTTGCAGAGCACTATAGCATTCATTTATCGAGTGCCCACTCAATTATGAGGCATGACAGAGTTTGCCATCTGAGAAAGGAAGGACCACTTAAGGATTCTTAGAGTCAGAAGTCTGGAACAAATAGATGAACGGATCAAAGAGTTGGGGGTGGGTTTCATTATAACGAGAGACGCTCTTTTAGCAAGAGCTGGACCTTCCATTGAAGGTTTAAAAGATCTTTCAAATGAGTTCTATAGAAAATAAATTATGACTTGAAGCATAAAGGAATCATGAATTTACCAGACATCATAACAATTTGGTTATTTTGTTAAATCATAAAGAGAACTTAGGTGTGGTGGCTTACCCTTATAACACCAGCCCTTGGGAGGCAGAAGCCTGATCATAAATTCTAGGCAAGCCTGTACTACATAGAAATTTCAAGATTTGTTTTTCTTCCGACACTTACTTTTCATCCTTTCAACCATATTGTACTAACATCATCAGACTATCTTCTTGCAATCAAAGCATACTCCTCGGCTATCTGTGTAAGAAGTATGTACCTCGAGGGCTGAACTTATGGTTTAAATACATGTTTGTAGAACATCAAATGAAAGTATGGGGAGATATCATTCAATCAGATTCTTTTGGTGAATTCCAGAACAGCCCCTTTCAATGGTGTCTATCAGGAGGGTAGACTATTGCTTGGTTTTCTTTGCATTTCTTCTCTTTTTCCCCCTTTGCCAAGAACTGCAAACAAACAAATGAACTGAACAAAACAAATAAAAAGTCAGAGGGAGGGACGGAGCAGGAAGATGGGAACAGAGAGAAGGGAGGAAGAGACGAAGAAGGAGAGAATACTCAAAGTACTCAACAATCTAGGAGGGTCATAGAGGATCTGTCTCTCTTTGTGTAGTGACTTTATAGAGCTGACTTCAAAAGAGGGACAGATTATTTCTACATGCAGAACAGAAATATGATAGTTATGTCTTACATAGCATGAGAAGAATGTCTTCAACTTGAGGGCTGCCTTTCTTCTGTGTGGGTTCAAAGTACTCAAAAAACATGACATCATTACTCTCTGGAAGGAGAATGTGGACCAACTCTTAGGAAAATAACTCCCTTTCAGGAGCTTGGGGAGCTCAAGCACAGATAGGTGTCCCTCTTGAGTTTGTGCAAAGTTTCCCCCCCAAAATTTGATCCTAGTCCTCCTTAGAGGAGAATAGTCATTATTACTCATGGTTTCTTGGTAAACTCAATCTTTAAGAAGTCAAACTGTGAAGTTTCATCACTTTTTGCTTATCTCCCTAATGATGAGTCTTTGGGCTTAGAGATATTTATCAAACATCTTTGTTTCAAGCTAGGCAAAAATAAAGTGAGAACAAAACAAGATACCAAGTAGCATAGCTTAATCTCCTGGGATCAAATCTGGAGTCTCAGAGCATTCCCTGAGGAGGAAAGAAAAATATTCTCTGGTGTTCTCTTGCTATCTCTCAGTAAAGCACAGCTGCCAAAATCCTGCTAACAACTTGATGTGGACAGTATTAATGGGAGTTATAGTCTCAGTCATTATAGTTTCTTTTTTTTTTCTGTTCTGTCAGCTACATCTTAGTGAAGTTGCTTATAGTTTTCCTCTCTCGATTCCCCTCTACCCCCAAACCCTCTTCTCTCTTCTTCTTGCCTGTCTGAAAATACCTCAGGAACTCTGGCCATGGAAGAAAGGATATGAAGAAAAATGGAGCTGCTCTGTCTGGATCTAATAACATTTCCTCAAGTCTAGCTGACTTCAGGAGACAGTCATTGGAGAAATTATCGGAACTGTTAGAGCAAGGGCTATTTGAAACTGACAGTGAAAACAGGAACTATTTTTCAGTTCAAATTCTATTCCAGTTTCCTTTGCTTCTGACCTGAGCTGCCTGGAGTTTAGTTTTACAAATGGGTCTGATAGTCTGTCGGACAGGTATTAGTCCATTAGTGTCTTACTTCCCTCTAACTCTTTTCTTTTGTTTCTTTTTAAATAAAATACAATCTTACATTACATTAATATTGTATTTGATAAACAAATCTTGATAGCCCACATTTACGGGATATAATGTGATGTTTTATATAAATGTTGCATGATCAAATCAGGCTAATTGACTTCTCACTTCATTTGCCTATCACTTTTAGTGGTAGAACATTTGAATTGTCCCCAACCAGTTGCATAATATAAATTATATTATTTTGGTTTATGCACAATTGGCTGTGCAATGGATGGCAAAAATATCCCTTCCATCTATACCCCTTAACCAACAGCTTCCATTGTCCCTTCTTCCCCAAGGCTCTTGAGAACTTGTAGAGTCTTTATTTCTTCTTTACCAAGGTACCCTGGGTAGGAAACAATACTGCCCATCTAATTCTCTCTTAGCTATAAAAATGTTCTGTATTTAGACTTGACCCTGTGTATACTGAGCAGCTGGGTGAGAATTGCTTTCTTGTTGCTATCTGGATTTGGTGAGGACTCTGTTTGTATCCCCCAAATACTGGCAATTAAAAGAAAAGAAAAACCTTTGTGAGTCTATGCTGGGGTATTGGGTTTATTTGGACTGAATAAGAAAGTTGTGTTCCCAGACATGTATTTAGAATTGCACCATCAAATTTATCTCCACACCTGTTTTTGCTGTACACATTACTCTTGCTGAGAAATGGTCATGTTTCTCTTTCCAAAGGCTCCCACCCATCATGGTGAGTTCCTACCCCCTCTTCTCACACAGAATCTCACGATACCATCGTGTGTTTTCTCATACTTACCTTTGCTCCTGATGGCCAGCATCATGTGGGAAGAAGGGTTACTGACATTGTTGCCATTGTGGACTTGTCCTAATATTTGGTAATGTCGGGATCACAAAAAGCATTACTCCTTTCTTTTAACCTTTTTTCTGACTGCGTTGATATTCTCATAATATTCAGGGCCCACCCTAGGAGGTTCCCAGCCTGTACTTTATTTAGTATGTTTACAGTGTTCTGTCTGCATGTATCCCTGTAGTCCAGAAGAGGGCATCTCATCACAGATGGTTGTGAGCCATCATGTGGTTGCTGGGAATTGAACTCAGGACTTCTGGAAGAATAGACATGGCTCTTAGCCACTGAGCCATGTCTCCAGCCCCCAGCCTGTACTTTACAGGTCCTTTAATGACAAATGAAGGTAACTTATATCTCAGTTATACTTACTGTACTTTCTTTAGCTGCCTAAATCCCTCCAAAGACCTACACCCATACCCAGTGGATGAAAGAATGCGTCTTACCAATTTCCCTGCGCAACAGCAACATAGTCTTGGGCTCCATACAAGCCACAACTATCTTGAACAAATTCTGTTTCTTGGAAAAAAGTTAACGCTAACATTTCATTGTATGCCATAATTACTGAAACGTATCCTATGTGTGTTCATTGACAGAGACAATGTGAATCAGGCACCAATCTTAAGTTTATACTCTGATGCGTGACATTGGAGTTCCTTTTCTGTCCTATTTCTTCTTCCTGGAGACACTCCAGTAGAGGTAGCAAGCACTGTTTTTTTCTATGTCCCAGAAGTCATTGCCATTCTTCTTGAGGTCTGCAGACCTCAAGCTGTTATATCTGGAGTAACCCTGAGAAATGCTCCTGAGAGCCATCTTACCCAAATCTGCCATGGCCCCCAAGGATTCTGAGATTGTCCTTGAACAGAGTGCTTCGGTGCCCAGTGTCACCGAAGGGAGAAGGGAGAAGGAAGCATGGCCTTGTCAGAGCAATATCAATTTCTTTTGTATGTATGTGTGTACGTGAATGTGTATGTGCATATATATGTACAGATGCTCATGTGTGCATATGCATGTGGAGGTCAGAAGTTGACATTGGGTGATCTCTATAACTCATCACCTTATTATTCTTTTAGGGGAGAAGGGTTCACTTTGTGTTACAGCTCCAAAGCAGACACAGTCTGTCATGGTGAGGACAGCATAACAGTAGGAGCATGAAGCCGATCTGGATGTCAGGAAGCAGAAATGTCCATGTTGTTTCTTTGTCTAAGTTCAGATTTTTCTCTTTGCTTTTAATTTAAATTTTTAATTACTTTGAGAATTTTGTTTATAAGACCTGTATTTACATCACTTATATCCTTCCCTTTCCTCCCTCCAATTCCTTGTATGTCTCCGCCAATTCCCTCTCAAGTTCATGGTCTCCTTGGTAATTAGTATGTATGTATGTATGTATGTATCTACCTATCTATCTATCTATATTTAATCTATGCTCAAGCCCCTTTGGAGTTTCTTTTATTGCATGTGTTGAGAGTACTTGGGGTTGGATAATCTCTAAGGGGTCTAGTTCTTGGAGAAAATTGATTCTTCCATTGATTGTCTATAGCTCTTTATCTAGGGTGGCTCCTTGTGAATTTTCCCCATCCATGTTGGCATGCTGACCGGTGTTGTCATTATTCAGATTTTTTCTAGGCTATTATATTGTTGAGATTTCATGAATTTAGCATCCCTGTCATGTTTAGACATTATCTAACAAAACACATCTTGTTCTCTGGCACTTTCAACCTTTCTACCCCATTTTCCCAGATGCTCTCTGAGCCTTATGTATAGATTTGGTAGACTGGTACATTGTAGATGCATCAGTTGAGGCTGGACAGCCCAGGTCGCTTATTATCTTCCTGTAGTAGCTTTCTGCTACAAAAATAAACATTTTTTGATGAGGGGGCAGTGAGAGTTACACCTACTTGTTCATATTTGAGACTAGGTCTCTCATGCAACTTGGAATTCACTGATTAGACCATCTGGCCAGGGAGCAGCAGGGATCTACCTGAGTCTTCCCTGCCCCACCAATGCAGAGGCACATGACCATGAATAGCTTTTGATGGAAGTTCTGTTGTCCAAACTCGGGTGCTCATGCTTAGAGAGCAGTCCTTTGCCCACTGAGCCATCTCCCCTTATTTGTAATATGAAATTCTAGAGCTACTGGGGCCTTAGTTCTATGATAGTGAGAAAAATCCTATTAATTGCACTCTTGGAACTTCTAGTTTTCCCAGCTTTGCAATACCTTGACATTCTGGAAGTAAGGACCTAATAAACCCTGGTGATTCAGTATTGAAGTTTGTAGCATCTGCATACAAATTCACATCACCTGGACAAGAACCAGTAATGATTGAGCTAATACAAGGAGATTGTGTGCCTTTGTGAGTTTTTGAGTGTGTATTGTAAAGATTTGGGGCCCATATTGATTTGAAAATGTTTTCTGCCATTCTAAGTATTATTGTCTGTTTGTCCAGAGGGTGAGTCTAGTTATTTTGCTTAAGAGGGAAAGAATAAATTTCCAAAGTGTTATGTGTTATAGAAGGGGCTTTTTGACTCTAGAATAATCACCAACTCTTCTATGTTTGGTAGTGATATATTATTTATGATTTACTAAAGCTTGCCTGAGGATTCAGAAAGCAAAGTCAACCACAAGCCATAGAAGTCAGGCATACACCTTTAATCCCAGCAGCCAGGAGCTAGAAGGTAGTGATACACACCTGATGGGAGAAGTCCTTCTGTGTATATGTTTGTCCTATTGGTTGACAAATAAAGCAGTGTTGACCAATAGGGAAGCAAGATAGGTGGGACTAGGAGAGGTTAAGGATTCTGGGAAATGGAGGCATAGTCAGTCACCATGTAGGACATGAGAGAAGTAAGAGGTCTGAACCCTTTCTTCAGTAAGAGAAGACCATGTGGAAATAGTCAAATTATCAGTTATGGGTTAATGATTAAGTCAGAGCTAGCCAGTAAGAAGCCATAGCAAACAGCCAACAGCTTCACAATTAATATAGTGCCTCATGTGTTATTTGGGGCAGAGACAGCAGTAGGACACAGGCAGCTGGCGGGAAAGGGTACATGTTACACACACCTTTAATCCTAGGACTCAGGATTAAGAGGTAGATCTATGTGAGTCCAAGGCCACCCAGATCTACCCAAGATTGATCCAGTCCTAAAGAGAAACAGCTCATACAAAGATGATCTCAGCACTTGGGATCACCCTCTTTTAATTCCAGCATTAGGGATGTATGTAAGACAAGAGCAAGGTCTCAGTATTGAGCATTCATTCTCCAGCCACATTAAGGATAGGAGGCATTCATTCTCCAGCCACCCTGAGGAAAGGTTACAGTCTGAGGCTTGGTGAGACCTCATGGAGACAGGATCAGCCCTGAGGTAGAGGTAAGAAGTTAGTGGCCAGCTGCTTTGCTTTTCTGATCTTCAGCTTGAAGTTTGAACCCCAATATCTATCTCTGGGTTTTTTACTTTTTGTGTTACAGTGTTCATCACCCTTATGTGGTGTGACCTGTGCTGCCATTTGGACTCTAAAGCTAGGGTTTTTATCCAGGCTTTGCCATTTATGAGTTCCATGCCCTTTCAAAAATGTCCTTAACTCCTTCTGGGCCTCACTTTGGTTTAACTGGAAGAGATGACTCTTGTCTCTACATCTGGTGAGGTTTTTGCTGTGACTATGTGTTGATATTCTGATTTCTGAATTCTAGAGAAGGTTGTAAAGTAAGAGTAAGTAAATTTGTACAAGGAATCTAGCAGTTCTCCTTGGGAGAAAGGGACCAAGATCTCAATCTCCAATTGCAAAGGCAGGGCACAGAAATCTGTGGAGAGGGCTATAAAGACACCTGAAGATGTCTGTCACAGAGATAGAGTGTCACAGAGCTAGAGTCTGTGCCCCCATGTGAACAATTGTGCTGGGTCTTATCTTGTGACAAAGAAACAAAAGATTCTGCCTTGAGCTCAGAGCCTGACTTTGACGATTTTGGAGGGACACACACATGCAGACCACTGCAGCAGCTTCATGACACATTAATAAGGAACATTTTATAGTCCCAGACGCATGGCAAGAACCTACTCCACTTAATTGACATTACTGATGACAATGCAGTCATCTTTGAAGCTTGTTGATTTAGTTTACTATTTGTTTGAACAGAGACAAATGTAGCCAAGGCCGTCCTTGAACTTCTGATCCTCCTGTGTCTACCTCCGAGTACTGGAATTGCAGTGTGTACTACACCTGACTCAGGAAGCTTATTCATTTGAAGGAATTCAGTCAAAACAGAGGCTACATAGACTAACTCTGTCACAAGTTGTGGACCCTTTCTAGCACAAAGGGATGGATATATATTTAGCAAAAGAAAAACAAAATAACTCTAGATCATATTGCATGGAATTTTTTAAGCCTAAAAGCATGCATCTCTTATTCATCTTGCTTAGGAGTATCCATTGTTGCTGCAGTTGCTCTTGTTTGGGGGTTGCCTCTCCCTGTACTGGCCTCATTTGAGTGCCTCCAACCTGAGTCTCCTGAGAGCCAGGATTACAGATGTGCCACTACTCCTGGCTTCAAGAGGATTCCCTCTTAGTATTTCAGAGTTCCAACAGAACCTCTAAGTCACTACAGCAGGCAGTAACCTTTACACCAGTGGTTCTCAACCTCCCTAATGCTGCAACCCTTTAATACAGTTCCTCATGTGATGCTGACCCCAATCATTAAATTAATGCATTGCTGCTTCATAACTGTAATTTTGCTACTGTTATGAATCATGATGTAAAATCTGTGTTTCCCAAAGGTCTTAGGCAACCCTTGTGTAAACATCCTTCGACACCCCACCAAAAGGGGTCATGACACCCCAGGTTAAGAACCTCTGCTTTACAAGATGGAGGTTGTCAATATGGCCTTCATGGAGCTCCAGGTTTGCTATTTAATGCTTAGTTCCCCCAGATCAGCAGACTGGAATCTATCACTGTGCTGAGGAAGGCACTTGGAAGAGGAATTCTTCCCTTAAAAAATGAATGAATATTCATGTGTGCTTGTGCTGATGCAAACCAAGCAACCAGACAGCCTTCTACACATGCACGTCTCTGGGACAAAGCACAGAGGAAAGCTCTTTGAATATACTCAATGAAAGTTCAGTTCAGAACTTAGAAAAGAGATCGGGTTTCTCCTGGGCTCTTGGAGAAAACACTGCAGGTGGGACAAACATTCTTTTCTTTCATCAGTGCTGGTCTCCCAAAGAAGATGCAGGCGTTGCCCATTCTGAAGAATGAAGGGAGGCTCTGATCACAGGAGGCTGTCATTCCATAGGTAATTTTCTGTTTCTCTTTCTCTTTGTAATAGTAAAATTTCTCTTGTAACCGGTGCCCTGGTTTCGTTCTGTTGCTGTGATAAACCACTGACCAAAGCAACTCAGAAAGAAAAGGGATGATTTGGCTTACACCCCAGGTCATAATCCATCCTGGAAGGAAACCAGGCCAGGAACTCAAGAGGAAACTGGAGATGAGAGCCATGAAAGAAGGTTACTTACTAGATTGTTCTCTGCTGTTCTTACGTAGCCTAGGTTCACCTTCCTAGGCATGGTGCTATCCATCCACAGTGCGCTGGAGTCTGTCACATCAGTTATTGCTGCGGACAGTTCCTCACCAACATGGCCACAGGCCAGTTTGGTTGAGAATTCTCCAGTTTAGGTTCTCTCTTCCCTGGTGACTCTAAGCTGTATAAGTTTACAAGAAAACCCAGAAGGACACACACATTGTTTTTCTAAAGACTTTAAGGTATGTTTTTTTAAAGCATACAATATAGCTAAGTGTGTTGGTACACATCTATAATCTAAGGACTTGGGAAACTGAAGCAGGAAGAATCAAGTGTTCAGTGCTAAGCTTGGATATCTTAGGTTATACTAGATCCCGTCTTTTTCTCCTCCTTTCTCTCCAAAAGCAGCATGGACTAAAGAAAAAAGGTGAAAGCAATAAGGTGAAGTTAGCTTTAGAAAATCCATTACTGTGGTATAAAAATTTGTCCTTGAGTGTCCTAGTGACCAGAACTAAACGGGAAAGAATCTCATTTGCTGGTTACCTGCTTGAAAAGAAAAATGAAGTTTCTCAGAAACAGCTCCATCCTCCTTCACACACAGAACAGAAGTGAGTTTTCTTAGCTACTTGTAAAAAGGGTGGTTAGAGCTCTGATGATTCAGTTTCTCCATGCCGGCTGCCATCAGATTGTACAGGACTGCTTTGTATAATGGCCTTGATTGGTATCATGCCAAAGTCCAGCTACACCTAGGAAAAGAAATAAGTCCCAGGCAGTCATCCATTCTCATCATTTATTGTCACAGAATGCTTGTGAAGCATGAAGCTTCACAGAGCTAGAGGTCACCTCTGATGAACCACAAGGGCACAGCTCTGCTTAGCTAGTGTCCAAGTGCAAAGCCATAGGCTCCAGACTTAGCTAGGCAAAGACAACATTCTCTTACTCACAGAAAAAGGGAGTCCAAAGTGTGAGGCAGAAGTAAGGCCATCATGTCTCTGCATGAGAAGGAGCAAGCACCCCAAAGAACAGGCAGAAAATTTGAAGGAGGGGAAGAAAAAAATTAATAGTGATTTTATTACCTTAACTGCTTGTCACCCTTTTGCATATTTCTACCTTAAAAAAAAAAGCTTCTCATGGGTAATGTTAACACCATCAGGGTGTGCATACAAATTCATTTCATTTTTCACTTAACTAAGCAGCATAAAATAGGTTATTACAATTTTATATTACCAGAGTGTGCGGGGTGCTATGATATAATCTTCACTGTGCTTCAGACCTTGCATAAAGTATGTCATATGCCACATGCCACAAGTAAGTGATGCCTTAGGAAATTAGGCAACGAGGCTGCTTAACGAGGTTAGAATCAGTACAGGGATGGGGGAATGGTGGTGAAACCAGGGTATGGGGGGAGATTCAGGCAAAATCAGAAGGGGAAGTGTCTGCAGGAATTGACACCAATGGAGAGTTGAGGAGCCTTGGGGTCTGAGGACTCAATTATGTGTGACTCGAGACAGAACAAGTGTGCCTCCTGAGACAATTTTGGAAAGACTAAGTGTGTGTAAGATCTGCCCTTTCATCCAAGGTAGAATTAGGGCAGCCACTGGTAGTGATAATAGGTGATGTGACTTTGTAAGACTTTTTCTCTTTTCAAAGCAGTTTTTTTAAAACCATTTTTGTCGTGGTCAAGAATGTCTCTTATCTATTTCTTTGGAAGGGAGGGGGAAACTCAATTACAGAAGAGATACGGTATTTGCTTTTGCACTAGTTCTCCCATGGAAATGCCTAATAAACTGGTCCTCGATTTGTTCAGTTTTTCTATCCCATCTTCCCAGAAATCGAGAATTTCTAATTCCTTAATATAACAACAAATTTATTGAAAGCATGCCTTTTTTTTTTAAAAAAAAGCTCACTTCATTTTTATTTTTTTATATGTTTGAGTTTGCACCTGTGTGTGTATCTGTGTATACCACACACATGACTGTGGAATCCATAAGGGGACATTGGATCGCCTGGAACTTGAGTTACATATAACTGTGACTCACCTGACATGGATGTTGGGTTATACCTCTTTAGCCCCAGATATCAGAATGATTAGTGTGTGTGTGTGTGTGTGTGTGTGTGTGTGTGTGTGTGCGCGCGCGCGCACATGCGAATGCATACTGGCATTGAACCCAGAACCCAGAATCTTCTGCACACAAGGCAAGCAAACACTACACTGAGTTATGTCCCCAGGCATGAAAGCATGTCTTGAATGACCTCTAGGTTCTGATGCCTCCGCTATGATCTTTCACAGATGGCTTCAGTTTAGTGCTTTGAAATAGGCTATTTCCCCTCTTGCTTCCTTGTGTTACTCCTGTCCCAGGAAGGGGTGGGAGTTGTGTTTTCTTAAATTCTGGCAGTTTTTCACTGGCCAGATGATGAGGCTTGCAGAAATCAGCGTCTTAATACATGAGAAGTTTAAAAATTAAGGGGAGAGGGAACCTGTCACTAACTTGCTTTGAATAATTATTTTGGTATGGGGACCGTTTCCTCAGAAGTAATTCAACCAACGTGACGTTTAACCATCTAAACGTCTTCCTTTCCCAATGAATGGATGTGGGTGTCTGAAAGGACACGATGAAGTTAGGAGCTTTTGGTTGATTGAATTAAGCAGCTGGGATTAATGAGAGGGTGGCTTCTTCCTGCAGTGATGGGGCCTCCTCCATCATCTTGCATTCAGTTAATGAAAGGGAACAATCAATGCACGTTTGGAATGTTTTTCTCTCTCTAGCCAACACTGCAATCCTCAGAACTTGTTAGCTTTACTACTGAATTCTTAAATATGTAATGGTAAATGCCCAACGGAAGTATAAAGCACAGCTCTCTTTGCTCTCCCATTGGGAGGGGATTTTGTGTGTCAAACATAGCAGGTGGTGAGCACCAGGTGCTCAGCTTCTTCAGAGCCCTCATTGGGGTTCAGAAATGTTAAATGCACCCATTGTACAGAACAAACTGTCTATTTCCTGGCAAACTGATTCAGAATTTGGTTGTGGAATAAATTCTCTGTGCACAAAAGCTTTAATTTGAAATTTGGAGAAACATTTGTGTGCTGGCTGATGTGAGTCCATTTGGAGTATCTGATAGGACATTCAGGTGGTTCTGAAAGCCTTGGAATTTACCAGTTGACTCTGATCCTTTGGAGTTCTGATGGTGCTATTCATATGAGTGTCTCTGGGTCTTTTCCTAGATTAAAATTTTTTTCTTTCTCTATTTGTGGTTTTTAGAAACTTTATCTTGTGGTCTGTCTCTACAATTAGGAGCACTTACTACAAAATCAATAATCTGGGGATCCAATGCTGGGCTATAGCCTCAGATCCAAGGTGGGTGGAGACGGGAGAGTCCCTGGGGGCTTGCTGCCTTCTACCTCAGCTGAGAAAACCTGTGTTCCCAGAGAGACCCTGCCTCAAGGTATAGGCAGAGAGTGCTAGAGAAGGGTACCCAATGCCCTTTGCTGACCCTACTCCATCTTTTCCATTTTCCTTTACCCTCTACTCATTTTGGAGCGTCTCATCTTCCTTTTATTTTCATACATTAAAAAATTAGAGCAAATGCATACAGCACTTACAATTAACATTTCAAACTCCTTTTACTTTTTGACTATAAAGTGCTATAAATAAAATCAAAACTTCAAAAAATTATTTTTTTTATCATTACTCTGTGTTGCAGTTTGTACACACACACACATGTTCAGGCATGCACCCATGCATGAGCTCATCCATGTAGTGCTTGAGTACTGAGTACCACATCATGTGTTCAGGTCAACTCTCAAAAGTTTGGAATTAAACTGAAGTTGTCAAACGTGGAGGGTGGGTGTTTTTTCCTTCAGTGACATCTTTCCATCCCAACTGCTTGGATACTTGGATTGTACCCTCTTTCTCTTCTTCCTGGAGGTGACCTCCTATGAAGGCTCTCAGCAGGCTACACAATCATGCATCCCCATCCCGGGCCCCATCTCTTGTTTGTCCACCCAAACATGTTAGCATTTGCTTCACAGAAGGATGTCCTCTTGCTTTGCATCATTAAATCAAGAGATACCTTGAGCACCCCACACCTATGATACTCTGGAACCTGCAATAGCTTTTGCCCCAGCATTTTAGGTAAAGGATATTCAACCCATGTGCTAGGTGGTCCAGAATTAAATGTAATAAATGCTTCTGGTAGAAATATTATGGAAAATAAGTAGCTGCCTGTTGGGTAAACTGGTGAGGAAGATTCATATTTAGGAGACTTAAGTGCTGCAGGCAGAACCTTCCAAGCCTGAATCTGTGTTTCCTGCTGGGGTTCTGTCACTGAGAACTCCTCAGAATGAACACCTAAATTTCTAGTGACTGCTTCTAGTTACCTTTTATTTCCCAGACAAGCTGACTTGGATCTGCAGTGATTCAGGTATCATTTGTTTGTTTGTTTGTTTGTTTGACATCTTTACTGTTGCAGCTTTCCAAAGATTTTAATATCTACAATGGGGTCATTGGTCCCATGGGTGTTTCCTAATTCCCTGACCATGTCATGGTTTGGCTGTCATGTTCTTAAGTTTGTACTATTCCTATCTCTTCTTGTCTAAATGAAGAACCTAAACAGTGACTCCTTTGTGAGCATCTTCTTGCTTTGCTCCCTCCAACTCTTCAGCTTCCTTCCATCACCCCTTTCCCTCTCTTTGCCTTGACTTATGGGTCTGCTGGACTTTCCCATACAGCACCTGGTCAACTTGTTCTCAAAGCTGGTGAATTGTAGGGCTCCAT